ACCCTGATTGCATTAGATCTAATTAATTACTGACTAAGGCTCCAAACCAAAATAACTGCGAACCTTTTAACGTTATTCGATTTTTCAATTATTTAGTCTTGATTGTGTTCAAAATTACTTTTTCGATCGGTTCAGTTGTACGCTCAACCACACAAATCGCTCTCTTCCACGCATGGAATTTTTTTTTCAAGTAGTCCAGCCCTTCACCCGTTTGGAAATCAACCAAAGAATTAGTTTTTCTTTTTCTGTCATGGTTTAGTCGGAGTTTTGGCCGGAATAAGCAGAATCTGAAGTGTGCTCACTGTTAGATTATAAAGGCATTCATTAGAGCTTCCTAATTACTCATTGCTCTAATGAATAAGCACTAATGAACCACTCTTTGTTAATTAAAGGGAGCGTCTGATGTACTGTCAAAGCAGTGCAGTCGAATTTCACTTTTCCTGATTTTATCATCGATTGCTTCCACAACTACTGGCTGGAATGTTTTTCTCTGTTGAATTTATATTAGACGTACACCCTAATCACCTGCTGTTCAGAAGATTAAAACAATTGTAAAAATGGACTGTACTGATGTCTGAATCAGCTCAGTGTATGCTTTTGAGTGGGCCTGGGTAAAGGTGTCAACGCACAAAAACCAATGTCGGCTCAGTAAAACGCGTCAACGCATTTTGTGATAGAGTCAACTGATAATACGAGAAACGTGTTGGAGACTAGGCCTGGGTAACTCTGTGAATTTTTAGGAGTTGGCGTAGTGCAACTCAACACACCGGCGCAGTAACTCAGTTCTCTTGCTGGGAAAACGTGACTTACAAAAATGAGTGAATTTTTCTTTAGTTGTTTTTGGACAAACTGGTAAAACGTTAGTCTTAACAGGTGATGATCTCTTTTAGATGTTAAAATTTCGGATTTCGGAAAGCTTTAATCCGCTTTAACAAAAGGGTTTTGCTGAAGAGAGCCTACGAAACACGACGGTTGCGTTGTTTTAATGAATTGAATAAATGAAGTTGCAACACGTTTTCTTCGTGTAGAGCCTAGTGGTCGCACAAGCGCATTTTCAACGTCTCACAAGCGGATCAACGCTTGCAAAATTCAGAATTTCATGCGATTTAAATGAACTTTCGAAGGTTTGAAGGAATTTTGACCACATCTGGAGCGCACTCTTCTTTACTAAATACACAACTCTGAGCTTGTAGAGTATTTTTCTCTTCGCGTCTCACTGTGCCGCACTTTGAATTACGCTTTAAATTGCGCAAAAAATGATCACCACATTTGTAGGAGTAACATTTGATCAATCAAATGGGTGACTGCAACGCAACTGCACCGGTGAGTTACTGTGCCGGTGCATTGGGTGGGCGCAACAAGCCATACAGAACCGAGATAAATAAGAATTTTGAACACGAGTTAGGTTCGGTTATCCGGAATCATATGATGAATGGGAAAAAGTGTTACTCAAGGTGTTACAGCTAAGATTCAAGGTGTTATAACGCATTGATACAGAGAGCGGCTGCAACACAATAGTGCCGCACAACAGTGTCACCCAGGAATACTTATGCGCAAATCACTTCTGAAGTTGCGAACTTCTCCCGTTCATGTTGAGAAATGCCAAAGATTGTTTTTTGAATACGCCCAAAACACAAAAGCCTAATTCGGTAGAAAATCATTAATGAATTATGTGGAAAACAAAAGCGCCATGGGCATCGCAGCAACACAGAAACCGTTCGGGTTTCAGATATAATACACGCAATCTAATATTCTTCTATTTGTTTTAGGCTTAAATGTTTGCCTAATCAACTGCTGTTTAGACTACATTAAATTTAATTACTGGGTTTAAGGCCAAGAGTTTACGGGACTCGGATGTGTACCCACGTTTATTAAGCGCAAACCGGTTTGAACTCGCTTGAGTGACAAGCTGTTTTATTTCGATTAATACCTGATGATGTGTCTTGTGTGTTTTGTTGAAGTTGCGCTCAAATTTGCACAGTTGGATCGTGTTTGCAGCGGATCCGTTTAGGACTATAGAGTAACAATCCAGCTGAAAACATCCTCCAAATTCTAGTTTTCTGCTATCTGACATCGATTTTCCGCAAAACGTGCCGAATTTTCGGCCAAAAAATCGCCAGCCTATCATATTCCGCTGTTAATTAATGCCGTAAAGCCGACGAAGAGTGCTCATTAGGACCTTGTTACTCCAGCGCTGGATAATGAATCTCTACAAGACACTCTTTATTGTGGTCGCTTTTAACAAGACCTTCAATTACTTTAATTAAAGTTATTCTTTTCACGAGCGATACAGGGGGGTTGTTGTAACACCGACCAACTTTCTCAACCATATAATATCATTGAAACTACATGATCAATGATACATAACCTTTAACCGGTGGTTTTGGATGACAGTTGTGACCTATTTAGGTATATAACGCATTTGTCCCAAAAAGATGGCAGCACTCGTGGGGCTGTTTTGTCGCAGCACTGACCGCAAGGTGACACCGTTATCCTAACCTCAACGGATGTTATTGTCTCTTTTATTTCCTTTACTTCATGTTTATCCATGGTTACCGGAGTTTTTAATAATTACATTAACAGGTATTTACGTAATGTTAATTAGGCAGATTGCCTTGAAAAACATTGTTGCCATCCTTCTGGTCTAGTTTTTTGCAAATATTTGAGTTTTTAATAACATTTAATTTTTTTTACTATTTTTTCTGCACTCCCAAGACACCCCCCACACCCGATCGTTCCACTCTTCCGATATTTTAAAAAAACATATTTTTTTTCTCAGTAAAACAGGTCAGATCGTCATATTTTGAGCTAACGAATGTGGCAGTACCCGTGTGATCATGTGCTTACTGCATAGAAGAAGGCTTATACAGAAACGACTATTACTCTTGTAGAAAGTGTGTCGCGAAAGTGGCGCGCCCTGGTGGCTGAGAAAAAAAGAATTTAAACAAACCTGCATTATGAACCCACTACACTTGCTTATTTTTAATGGTGTCGCAAGGGGTACCTGATAATAGGGATAAATGACACTACTACACAAAAACACATATAAATATATATATTACTTTTTTTT